AGAATAACGAGCAGAAACGGTCTCTATTAAAAAATCATATATTTTATCTTGAAATCCCATTAATGCTTCCTCCCAGCAATTCACCTTAATCTCTTTTAATCCCTCAGAAGTACTTTATTCAATTCAACATACTTTCCCTAAAATATGCGTTTATAAATTAAAGACAGAGTACTCTGTATATCATCAACCTAATTATAACTTTTTAATAAAGCATTTGCTTACTGTAATTCGACGAACAGCGGATACGGAAACGATCTTTCTAAAAAAAATTAGAGGTAAGGAGGAAAGATGGAAAAAGAGAACGCGGATGATACAGAAAAGGAGTGAAGGAGGGAGGAAGAAGTTGGTCCCAATATGGCCGTCGAACGATAACGGCCCGCTGATAAGGGCCTACCCTCACTTCGACGCTTTAATATCTCTCCCGCGCCTGCCTTTTTAATTATCTCTCCAGCGATAATGGGTGGCCTCCTCCGTGGCTCGAGCTTTCCACGGATAAATGCGAAGAGCAGAAGAGAGGAAGACGAATGAAGAAAGACGGAGAGCGCGGGAGTGACAGCAGCTACCGATTTCAGGGCGACGAAGGGCGCAGGACGAAGAAATCCTTGCGGGACGCGATGCACGGAACGACTATTCGCGATGCGTGCGAGGGAAAATGAAATTCATGGATGCGTCTGATAACCATTGGGACACCGATGTGATTTCGTTTCTTTTTCATCCCTCGGTCGACGGATCAAAGTTACGCGGGAAAAATAATTATCGGGAAACTGTGCCCTGACTACAGCAGTCAAATCTGTCGGAAAAAATAATCATCGAGCCTGGAAAAGTTCGCTCCGCGCAAATATTAAACAAAGACGTCGAGAACCATTAAGGCTATTCGCTTTTTTCCCTTAACATTAATTTCTTTTTCTAACAAGAGGCGCCAATTATTTGTTACGTTATATCCCTTTGTCCCACCGCGTACCTACTGTCCTAGAGGCATCAAGTTGCCCAAACCTGATCCAAAGACCGTATCCTTCGATCGACGCGAGTCTGGTTCGCTGTGAAAATTGAAAGGCACCGAGCAAGAAAGGAAAAGCGATCGTGTTCCAGGAGAAAAATGACACACGGTTACATTACGGTAACGAAAAACTCGGCCTCGATGATTTACGATAAAGGCCGGTCACCGATAACCACGTCGCACTATTTCATCCCGTCGCACACGTTTGGAAACATTCGATATCCGCGAAGGAAAAGTTCGCCGGAAAATGAGCCTGGCTATCGTTCGTTGGTAATCGATGTGACAATTATTCAACCTCGTAGGTTGAAATCAAAAGTGGCCGCGGAGTCGACGAGCCATAGTGTTCTAATAAACTTCGAAAACAATTTCGCTGATAGCCGAGAACGAAGGGGAGAAGACTACGGGGGGGCTGGGAAAACACAATTTTCGGCGTGAAATTTCCATAAAGCCGACGAAACGAAGGAAATCCGTGCCTGCAGTCACCGTTAATTTTTCATCAGGCCTGCACTTAACTGCAGCTTAATTTCGTGTCTCGCGAGGATGATTGTGCCGTCGCATCGAGTTTACGGTAAAACGGCCACGAAACGGCAGGGTGGAAGGAAGAACGTTACTCGTCGGGCTTAAAAGGTGTCGAGCTGACTTTTCGCCAAAGACCCCCGGTCTTTACGAACCATTACTTTTTATTGGATCGTACAGATCGATCCTCCCCCTCGTCTCTATCTTATCTGCCTTCGTTTCTTCCTCTTTTTCCGCGATAGAACGGTGCGTTTTGTCGTGTCCTTCCGGTTGTCGTTTGACCGCGGGTAATGTCGTTGAAAAAGGGTGCCGTTTTTCTAAGCAGCAGGAAAATATTGCAACTATTCGGGCCGAGAAATCGAGCAACTCTGTCCTCTTTTCGCTAATTTAAACTTTGATCTGAATCATCGTTAAGGTTCGAATAGTTCATAAATATGATCCTGCCGATAGCTCGGACATTTTCGCGCGAATTTTCCTCGAGTCGAAAGCGACGCGTAGCCGGAATATTACGCGATGGGGGAGATACGCGGGTTTGACTGGTATGATCTGTCAATCAATCGCGGAGGAATCGCGAAAAAAAAAAGTGAAAAGTGCATGCGACGAGACAGCCATGTTGCGATTTTTCCGCGCGCAACGGGAGGCATTATTTCCAGCATCGGTTTTGTGCTTTCCGGCCATTGATCCACTCTCCGGCTATACACTCACCCCCGTCTCGACCGGTGCTATATTCCTCGTTTCCCTAGTTTTCCAATCTGTACGAGAAAGACCTCCAAACTACCTTTTCTCAATCTCGAACCTATACCTATCAATTATTTTTTTTTTTTTTTTTTGTACTATTTGTTCTGCCTAATTTATTGTTCTTGTACCATATTTCCGAATGCCGTTAGTACCATGTTGTATCTTATATAGACGAAGGTTCTCAAAATTATTTCTGTTAAATTTTGTATCAAAGGGTTAATCCCGTTTAGTAATGGATAAATAAATAAATTATAAATTTGACTTCTTTATCCTTCTATAAATATCATAAATCAATCCTCAGGAGTAAACAATTCTAAAGTTCATTAGTAATTAATGATTCACCCTTATTAGTCATTTTCGAACCTCGATCTTGTTATTCATCCTTTACTGATCACTGAAATCTAAATAACCCCTATCTTCTTTATTTTCCAACCTTATAATATGCACCACTTTTTCCTCCTATTGCCAAAGAATATTTGAAAGCGTCTTGTTAGGGCGAACATACTATGTCTTTTTGTATATTTGAATTTCTGCTCAAAGTTGTGAACCTTATTGAATTGTAGGGTAGCCTTTAAGTAGGCACCGTTTATGGCAGGGTCACTCGGAGTTTGGGTTGACTGCAGACGTCGCAGGATGACACGATACAGGCCCTTATGTCTGCTTTTTTTCGATATACTATTGTTAGTTTTAAGGGTAGAAAATGGGAGAGAGAGAATGAAGTCGGAGTGGCTGGCTGAGATGAGAAAACAAATAGAACAGTTTGGGGAGTCGTAGAAGAAATAGTGTAGATTTTCTTAGAACAGCGTTAAATAGTTGGAGTTAGTTTAGTTGTCTTTCTTCTTATTAACACTAGAACTACCAAAGGGGTTAAAATGACTGGTTGTGAGTTTCTTATTTTAAATTATAAATTTTATCGAGGTATTTTTGTTGAAATATATGTTGGCTGTTATCAAGCTAAAGAATGAATGTACATATGAAATTATGTTTCATCTTTTATCTATTTAGTAATCTACATTAATTTCAATTTAATCAAACGTTATTTTCGATTTTGTATCAAACGTTGTTAGTTCGTAGCGACCTTACGTACACTTCATATTTCGATTTTAAAACCTGACGTATTTCTACAGAACTGACGATGAGACAATGGTGTCAACAATTTATTAAATATGCGTCAACAGAAAATTTCATATATAAATATAAAAATATGTAAAAATTTGTAATTACAGTAAATTAGGAAAAGCTATTTTGATATCTTATTATTTATATTATATATAAATAAATAATAGGGAATAATATTTAATTTTATTAAGTATATGTAAATATATGACTGCCACTGTTTGATCCTGTAACCTTCCAATCCCCATAGAATATAACAAACTAGAACACCAGCGGAATTTATCAAAAGCTAACATATCTGACCTAATAACTACTAACAGAAAATTATTATAGATTCTGCCCAGAGATTTGAAAGGATCATTGTTCCCAGCGTTATAAACTCTTTATTCCTCTATTTCATATCAGCCTGTATCTTATTCTTTCAGAAACCATTTGAGAAACACAGTGAAACTTGCAGAAACGGAAATGGGCCATTAGTCATGTGACGAGTATTCAAGACGACGGATTCTCGTCGCTCGAATGGAAATCCGAGCGAATGGGTGTGCATCGAGCTCGGTTACCCCCTGTGGTATCTCCGTCGCCCCTTCTTTCGCCTAGGAACAGCTCGTCGCTCGGTCGCGTACGACGGCTGCACGTTTACGATAGTATTTACGTTACTGGAGCGGGGCCAGGGTGGGGTTATGATAAATTTCCCGTGTACAAACTAATTTCAGGAAGCATAAACCCTTCCCGCGCTTGGAAGCCACTCCGCGACAGGCTTCTCCGCCTCTTCCGCGAACCGTGCAACCCCCGACGAAACCCCCCGACTCTCCGGTACCCCCGACTGTGAATTCCAGCGCGGGTTAATTTTATATCGTCGACTATTTTTATCTATTGCTTTGGTTGATGTCTGTTTAAAAAATAAACCCACCAGTTCCACGTTCAACGTACTTTTCGTCTTCACCCTTTTTCCCGCCCTTCTTTTCCCCCCGTACTCTCGCACCCTACGTTGTTCCGGTTACTTTTCTTCGTTCAAACGGATCAGACACGGAATTAAGCCGCTGTATGCGAAAGGAAAACGCGTCTCCAGGCTGGCGAGGGGATCAACACCCGACTACAGAAGGAACGAGGAGTCGTTTTAAGATGGCAACCGGCTCAATTGCGCGAATTAACCTCTAACGAGAAATCTCGACCCCAGCGGAGAGCAGTGGAACAGCGTGGACCACGAGGAACATCCTTACCAGCTATTTTCTTAAGCGACTTCTCCTCTCGCCGAAGGGAAGGAACGTTTAACGCCGGAAAAGAATTAGCCCGAGATTTCGAGGTGACCGAATTACTTAATTGCTGCAATTAACGGCAGTTCCTTTTCGCACGCTTTACATAAGTCACGTAAGTAGATTGCGAAAACGGGATCGGTAGATTTCAATTTGTCACGCGATATCTCGGTTTCTTCGAAAATCACCGGGCTCCTTATCACTGACAGCTTGCAATTCACGTCGGGGAAATACACGATCTGCCACGTCGCGGAATCTAATACAACCGATGACATAATACTGCAAAAGCCGTCGATAAGCAATGATACACGCTTGCCACGTCAAGCGAGATTAAAAAATACCAAACGATCGATTCCACTCCCTCGTCGGTGTCGTCTTACCCGGGGTACGCGATATCCAAAACAGACTCGAAATTGCTGCACGGTGTTACACACTACGAAGCACTATCACAATGGAGCTGAATTATTACAACAGATCCTACTAGTTGGTCATTTTATTTTCAACGATATTATCTTCACCGTATTCATCTATTTCACAATTTCAACGTATTCGTTGAAAAATATGTTCCCGTGCTTTTAATTATTACTGTCAAACGGAAAAAGAAAGTAAGGAAGAAAAGAATTTCAATTAACCGTCAGGAATTTCCATTTTCCGGGATAGCCGAACCGATTTCGCTAGCACGATCGATCCCCGGTACACGCAATAATGTTTTACAACATCGCGGCCAGAGGCTCGGATCGCTCGAGTTAAACTGAGAGATAATTGTCTGCTATCAGCTGACCCTTGTCGTTCATCCACTCCCCTTCCTACGTTCGTTGCGCCTCCACCCCGTCCCTCTACCTCGCCGAAGCTCTTTTCTCTCGGTCGGTTTCGTTGCAACGAAGCCTCGTCAAGTTAAACTCATGTTTGCCAGTAGACCGGCTGACAAAAGGCATTTTGTCAACGAGACGAACCGAGAGAAACAGAGACGATGCGCGGAAAGGTATGTGTGCACGCGTTTGCGCGGGTTAATCGCGATGCGTGCAACTCGCCAGATACGCGTGCTAATACCGCGTTAATAAGGATCATTATGTTGCCGATAATCTCGATCGCGTACAATACGTTGGACGTTAATCGAGTCGACGCCGCGGAAAGCCGCGTCTGGATTCATTCAATTTTCACTTTTGATACGCATTCGTTCATGGACGCTTTCGAACCGCGGCTAATTGGCTGAAAATAAACCGTGCCGAGTCCCGTTCCTGTCGCCGCTCTATTCGTTAGAACAGAATTCTTTCCTTCTGTAGATTTAATCAACGTTTCGACCTCTCTAATTAGCATTCGTCGTTGACACGTTATCGAGAGGAAATGTCAAAATATTTGTAGAAAATCCGGTGACGACGACCGAAAGCTAATTGCACCAGATGTTGGTCGAGTAGTCCTAAAGGATTCGGGGTTTTTCGGAGCAAGAGGACTTTTCCTCGCGAGGAAAGTCAGTCCTGATTGGCACGTTTTGAGAGGAGCGCGAAATATACGCAGGAGATTGTACAAACGGAGTTGTATTTCTGGGGGTTATAAGCGGAGTATGGCGCCCAGGCGCCTTGGGCCTTTTTCCCGTGACGGCCGCAAGGTGTCGCGCGTGTAACTCCATCCTTTCTCGCAAGTGCTCCATCATGGGCCTCGTAAATATACAGTCCCTGGCCATCGAATTAGGACCATTACAAATTTTTAGCATTTTTCACGTTTTCCGTAAAATTAAAATTAAAATTAAATTAAAAGTACACTACTACTGTACAAAACATTATTAACACATATTAATATCTCGTATTTCCACCTTTTGCTTTGATGACAGCTTTATCATATGCTATTTATATCTTCGTTTTTTCCCAAATATCTGTCATTTTTGTTTTCAACTCAGATAATGTGGTGCTTGGAGAGTCGTAAACAAGTCTTTTGAGTCTTAATAGCTCATCGCCTACATAATTTCATTTTCATCGCAATAGTAACAAATCTATTGCAATGTATACTTGGTTATCGACGTATTTAGTAATAATTTGAATTTTCCATATATGACATACTATTATAGCCATAAAAGTGAAATTTTCGTACATGATCCTAATTCGATGACCAGGGACTGTATGTATAAGATCTGAGAATATAGAACCCAGGCGTCTGGGACAGGGACCATTCACTACCCCCGATAGAACTAGCTGAATAGCTAACCCCCCCACACTGTAAATACCCCCATCTTAGAATAAAATCCCCCTCTGTATAGATTCCCCCTACTAGTATTAAGTTAGGCTAAGCTATTTTAAGTTTATTTCTAAGAAATCACCAAAGACTGATCCATGGGATTTTTAAAGTACAAATTATGTTAAGGTGTTTTTTTTCCCTATGCCACTTACGGACTCCTAGGTATAAAACGTTGTATATATCATTATCAACTGCGTATATTTTATTAAAATCCATATTGTTGTTCGGTTTAATGTCTAACCAGGCTGTGGCTATATCAAACACTAGAACACTTTTTTCTGTTAATTTTTGTATTCAAATAGGCTAAGAACCAATAATGTATTATTTCACAACAAAAACAATAAAACGATTTTAAAAAAAAGGGACCGTCCACGACAGCCCCACTGATGAGTTCTAGTGGATGGTTCCTGAGACGAAACGCCATAATTTTTCCGCCGGCATCCTAAATATTTAAATCCCGATTTTCACTATTCTTACAATATCTTACGTGTCCGACAAAAATTCGACTCTTTTTCAGTAGCTTTCTAACGACGTTGTTCCACTGCTAACTAGTCCTCGCGATTCGACGTCTTTTAGCTCCGGTTAATTCCACCCGCGTTCCAAGCTACTTCTTACCGGCAATCTTTTGGTAGAAATCACTTGAGAGGTCGAGATTTCAAGGGGGTGAAAAAGGAACGAGGATCGAGAGAGAGAGAGAGAGTTTGTGCTTTAGCAGCGGTCATAAATTTCACGGTAGCGCGGCGCAATCGTTTCCTCTTTTCTTTGGTTCGCGAATCGTGGCCGATCGACCGGTGCTTTTTCGCCTGGAGAACCGGCAGAAGGCCGGATAAAAAGCGTTCCCGATGTAAAGACTTCTAAGTAAGTATCTATCTTCCAGCACACGTACACGCGCATTCTACCGTAAGCTTTTCTAGAAAGCAGCCGGAAAGAACTGTAACCCCCCCCCGTTGATTCGTTGAAATATATTGGAAAATCTGGCGTCGAAAGATGCCGATGTAAAAAAAGGCTGGTTACTCGACGATGATAAAATTTCATTTATCACCGTTGCGAAACGATATCTATTTTCTGTTTGATAATTGACTCGAAGTAGAAGGAAGAGCATTCTCTTTGTCGAACCAGGAGAGTAATTATTAAAGAGATTCCTCTTGCAATAACCTTTGTCGCTGTTCGATTTCGTACGTCGCGTCCGCGTTCGCGATCGCTGGAAAACGTTAATGGATTGTTTCTCTTCAATTATGTCCCCGGTTTACGTTCGCGATGCTGGCGGAGGCGTGCTTAAAGAGGCGGATAATTTAAAAGCCCGGCAACGAGAAAGCGGAACGGAGTTACATCGCGAAGAAAATTAAGTTGATGAAAAGTATGCTTTGGGATTGCTGAAAGCGACGTACACTCGAAAAATTAAAATAATTCCGCGAGCTTCTGCTCGAAAATGTATTACATTTAAAAATCAATTCTGCAGTCAATTCGAAGGGTGAGTATCGGGAACGAAATATTTCCTCGCGACAGGAAAACAAGCAACAAATTATTTATCAAATTCTAGCGAGCAAACGAAACGCGAAAGGGTTGTAACCGAGAGAGAGAGAGAGAAAGGGAAGGATATCATTAGCGTTTCACGGGTTTCAGTTCGTTTAAAGGAAATGGTAACGACGCGCTGGAAGGGACGTTCGATCCGTCAATTAATTCCCGGCTGCAGGTACATCGCCGGCTAAATTGCCGTAGTCTCTCGCGGCGTCGTTTTTCGCGCTACCATCCACCAGCACACCCCTAGGCGCACCATCGCCGAATATCGCGCGCGCCTATTTTTTCGCCGGATTTCGCTGGAGGATATCGACAGGAAACGACGAACAGGAAACGGAGCGAGCGAAACGAGAAAGAAAAGGCTGCGAACGGGTGGGAGGTGGTTTTACGGGATAGGCAAAGAGTGCAGCACGACGGTTGCGGGGGAGGTGGGGTTGGGGTGAGAAGGTGGCGTAAGGGGATGGAAAATGAGCAGATAAAAGGGTCGACGCCGAGGTGTTGGTGTTGGACGCGACGAAAGAGAGCGAGAGAACGAGATCTCGTCTCTTCGACTACGGCGTGCTGCTGTGTCGGGGGTGGTTCGTATTGTCTCACCGATTATTTATGGCGAATTTTAAGCCCCTAAGTGTGGCTGCTGTAATAATTAACAAAAGGCATTATGCCACGGAGAACGAACCGAGTTCCCTTCTCCTCCTACCGCTGAACAGCCCTATTTATATACACGGTGGCACACGTAAAGGTCGCTGCTTCTCGTTCCAGGGGTTCGTTCGTTCGCCAACAGAGATAACACCTGGGACCACGCCACTCGATTGCCCAGGGCTCATTTACTAATGAGTACGTCCCTTAATATACACGGTATAACGTGCACACGACTGAGAGAGATAGAGATGCAACGAAACGATGCCACTTTTCTTTTTCCTTTCCAACTGTCGCGTCCGTGAGCGTACGCGACACACCATGTAACAGAGTGCTTGGCAGAGTCGAACGAGTGCCAGACTCTCGTTTTCTCCTATAGGGGTGGTGCGTTGTTGGCTGGCTGCTCGACGAGAAACAAGAAGCATCCCGGCGGCGCGCGTCTCCGGCTTCTTCTCCTTTGGCCCGTGATTCGTCACGAAAGAAGAACGTAAGCCGGATGACTCGGTACGCGGCCAACGGACTGCCTATTCATCGGATGCCACTCGAGAGCAAAGACCCTTTTCTTTTTTTTTTTCCTTCTCTTTCGTTGTAAGCTCGCTTGACAGCGAACAGACACGGACAAGACGGTGAGCTCTGTTACGAGATCGTTGCAGTACGAAATTCTTTGTACACACGCTTCGAATTTCTTTGCTCCTCTTGTGAAATGAAAATTTGACCAATCTTTTTTCACTTCTTCGAATCGAATTATAGAATGTGGAACATCGTAACGAGATTAACGAACGCGTCGTCGCGAGACGGTAATCTGTCAAATTGATTTTAATCGCAGGAACAAGTAACCATCTCTACGCTTCGATTAAAAGAAGACGCGTTTCTTTAACGTGGTTCGTACCTTATTCCCTTCTGCGTATCGCGGGTTACAGGTCGCCATCAACAGCCGCAGACGTGTAGAGAGTTAATGGTTGAAATTTAGAGCAGTTTAAGTGGCATATGGTGGCATTTTAATTGACAGTCTGGTTAAGTCATCGCGGGCTGGTATCGTCGTAACACATGGACACGGACGGATGGACGAACAGGGCCGAAGCAGAGATACGGAGCGATGGCTTAAACACCACGTGGGGAAGATTTTATGGGAAGCGGAGCATAGCAGGGGCGTGTGTGCGCGTTCGACGATACGATACGCGCGCCACACGCCTGCCTCCTCTTCTTCTCTTTTCTTTCCCTGTCCCGCGCGCTCGTTCGTCTCGTTCAAAGTTCACCCCGCTACCATTCGATTTTCGGAAGATTGCTTTTTTAATGTATGCATTAAAAAATGCTCTGCCACGTCACGAGGTTACCTCGATTTTTATCTTCGAAAACTTATTATTTTTCGATCAGTCCCTCCTCCCCCGCTCCGCCATCTATTTCCGTAGCTGAAAAGTTTTAGCTATAGCGAGAGACGGAGAAACTCGGTACGACTTACGAATTAATTAAACGGTTCGATTAATGAACTTGATGAAACGTTACGTTACCTTACTCGCAGGCTAGTGTCCCTATCTGTCTGGAATCAGCAATCAACTGAGGAATCTGGATGATCCGTCTACGAGAAGGCTCTTCACTTTTCAATTTGGTCAATTACGGAGGCGAAGCCGGCTTATCTCACGGGGCACTTGTATCGGTTTATCTTGTTTAGCTCACCACAAACTCCTCCAATTAGAGGCTACGAATTCCCCTTGTTACACGATGCGATCTGAACTGTTGCGCGGACCTACCAGCACTGAATCGAATCACCGAGTAAAGTCCCCCCGCTCTTGACGCAAACGACACCGAACAGTGCCGAGATGCTCCGAAACTTATCGAGCTGTATCGCGGAGACATCCGAGCGTGACGTTCGCTCCGTGACGTTTCACGACGCGCGAATATACATTCAATTTTCCGTCCTCTCGAGTGGCGTCTCTCGTTTTTTACCGACGCCTCTGTACCGCGCACCTTCCCTCTTTCCGCGGTAAATCTACGATAAGGCGAACGATGAAAAATTGATCTCCAACCACGGAGAATTTCGTACCTTGAATTGTCCCGGCTCCACGAGCCGGGACTGATGGAGGAATTTCAATTTAAGTGAAATTCTTACAATATCGAGGTCCGAATATTCCTTTCTGTTCTATGTAGGGTAAACTTGCTTAATTCGTACCAGTTTACAAGATACTTTTGAATAGGACTGAAAAATGTATGGAAAAGAGAAGAAACAATTAAATTAATCAAACACATAGAAAACCTGATATTATTTCCGCAGAGTGGCTATCACTATCTACGAATCCGACTAGGAATAGCTAAAAATAAACAAATACTTTCAAATAAAGTTAGTTTCATTCAATATAATTATCTCAATATCTAATTAATTAATTAATAATTAGCCGTTCAATGATTGGAATAATAATAACAATTATAATTAAATGCAAAATACTGTCAAAAAGACATTAATTGTCTTGGTTTTATACCGAAATAATACCGAGAATTTATTTTATAATAATAAAATAAAAAATATATAAAGAAGTTAGAAAGTTGGGACATTATGTCTTAAATCGTACCAATGTATTTCTTAATTGTACTCTCGTTGCAATCGTCACAGGTGTAAGAATACGTTCTTTTATTTTATGCATTTTATGCACTGAATCATTGATATTTGTTCGTAGCTCGCAGTACCAATTTTCTTCCCGTGTTTTATACTCGAAAAGTCGAACAAACCTACTTTGTTCAATAAAATTATGCTGCACAATATCAACAAACGCCATACTCTAAAATACTTGTATTAG